CAAAAAAGGAAAGAGTGAAGGGGAGAAGGCGGAGGGATTAGGATTAAGATTAAAGAGAGACTTGCTTGACCTGCGAGAGAAGAGAGAGGGATGGAGAGAGCAGCAGTAGGGCATATTTATATGCGGATGAGCAGTATCTACACTCACGGCTCAACGTGAGGCGATTTCTCCTTTTCGCTCGCATTCCCCACGAACTGAGATTACAGATTACACCATTAAGCCCCCTCTCCACCCCCCGTGTTCCTTGTGCCAAGCTCGCATTATCCAAGATTATTGTCTTTGGTGGCTCACCGGCTGCAAGCTCAGTGGTACCTGACAGTGTATGATCCGGAGGATCGACAAGTGTGGACGGCACTTGTACGTGATCCGTGAATGTCAAGGAAAGGGGGATCCACTGGGCTGCCAGACCCATCGAGTTGATAGTGGGACCCTAATTTTTGGATCGTCCTGGCTAGATAGGCTAGACTCGAGTCGTGTCGTGCACGCAATGCAATCGGGCTGCATTCGTAAGTGCCGGTGGCAGGAGCACCGACAAGAAACTATGTTGTTTAGCATCGCTGTAGCAAACAAGTTTCAGGGGAGGGGGGAGGGAGGCATAAGGCAACTGTTACCAAAATGGGAGAAGGGGGAGCAAAAAGTGAAGCATTGTGCATTATTACCTCGGTTGATGGTGTTGATGTTGGGTTGATGCCTATCCTACACAACTAGTACTACTGCGAACATTATACCCTATCCTGGCCGACAAGACATGGCTAACCCGGTCTTTTCGCCTTCAGCTAGCAAGACTACCTTCATTGTGGCTGTATAGTGGACGCCGCAGCTGAAACCCGACCATAGAGCAGTCGCCATACTCAAAGTACAAATTGTGATTAACTACCCAAAGTACTAAAAAATCAGGACGTGGCCAAGAGGGCGAGAGTGACAGGCACGAATGTTTGTGTCTGGACCGAAGGGATCGACAAGGCGCTTAATGCAAGCGTGCAGCAAACTATCGAAGTGGCGCCTCGAGCAGCTTCAACCGCGCACGAGCAACGAATTAACTTCCGTTCTACTGTTCTTCGGGCAGCTTAATTGTCAAATTCCGATCCTCCGAAAACCAGGTTCGGTAGGTCATCGTTGCTTTTTTTTTTGACCCTTTTTCTGTTCCGCTTCTTTTTCTTCCTACACGCAGTTTCTATTTGCTAAGGCAAATGTTGGTTTTGCAGGGCACCCCTGAGCGGAGTTTCCTCTGCCCGAATTTCAAGTTCATATGTAAGATGTCAAATCAAGTTCAAATTAGATGATGGTATGGCGAAAATAAATCTAAAAAAAAAAATTGTGGAAAATCTTTATCCGTTTGTCCCACATTAGAAATGCAATCCCAGAGCGACTCCCAGGAATGACCGCAGGAACGAGACTAAGCTCGGAATCCATCCGGCCGACGACGAAGAATCAGAAGGCGGAGGATGATGACCTCCAGGGCCACCAGGCCGGCCACCCCAATAGTTCTGACCTTCGCTTTCGGGCTTCGCTGCATCGCGACACTGCGGATGATTGTAGTCTTCTACAGTTCCCATCGGCCAGATGGGCACCACGCAGATCTCGTGGTCGGCGCATCCGCTGCATTGCTTCCACGTCGTCCAGGCCAGGTACTCCATCAGATCCTGGAAAAGCCCAATCAGCGTGTTGTAGTCCGTCTCCTGCCAGCCCTGGACCATCGTCTCACATATCCTACGAGTGACTGCATGCACGGCCGTCGCCGCCACCCCAGCATCGCCATCACCACCGAACGCCCCGCCCGGAATGAACTGCATGGAGCAGCGCTCAGCCTCTTCTTCTCCATCGCGATCTCCGTAGTCAACAAACGGAGCCAGCACCTTCTCTATCTTCGCGTGGATCTCCTCCACCGTCGACAGCTGGCCCGATGCAAAGTAGCGGATGTCATGCGCGTACCGCTCCACCACCATATCCGTGACAGTCTGCCAGTTGAAGGTAGCCTCCTTGGCCTCATGTTGCAGCACCAGCTCATTCAGCGCTTCCCTGATAGGTACCAGCTGCTGCGATGTAAACTGCGTCAACCGGGGCAGCGTGAAAGTCTCATTGACCGAATGGAACAGGTCCAGCCCATACGTATACGCCGACACGAAGTTGTCATAGTTCAGCGTCACCCGGTTACCCCCAATGCCATCATACCGCGCAGCAATCGCTTTGAACCACAATGCTCCATCTCCTTTGGTTACAGGATCCCCCTTCTTCTTCTTCTTGTCATCATTTCCACCACCGCCGGGTCCCCTGAACGGGTAACTCGGCTTCGTCCGCGTCACCCTGACCTCCTTCAAATCCCTAGCAAAATCACACAGGATGATCTCAAACCCAGCCTCCATGCGCAACAAGCCATCCACCCGATCATCCCATTCCTCTTTCGCCATGCGACAGAACATTTTCGCCCGTTCGCGATCCCCCATCATCTCTTTTTCGCCTACTTCATCCCGGAACAGGACCCGATCCTCGAAATCAAGCGTCCCGTTACGTGTCTTTCCAGCTGACATGCCATCGGCGTAAAGCAGTCGCAAATCCTTGGCGGCGACATAGGTATGTAACCAGCCAGAACTTTTCTCTTCTTCTGTTTCTTCATCGCGCTTCCTCAACTCCTTCCTCTTTTTATCATCGTCCTCTTCATCCGGCGGGGGTCCCATATGCGCCCTCGCGAACACCATCGCATGTTCCGGCTCGAAGGCAAGCCACTCCGTGCCGTTGATGGGGTCGGGGATCGAGGTACCGTGGTAGAACTGCGTGCCGGCGGGAACGCTGGCAAGGAATAATGACATGCCGTTGTGTTGGAGGGAGGAGCCCCATTGTCGCATGGAGGAGTGGATGGAGTTGAAGATGTGGTTGGCATTTTGTGTTGTTGCTGGTGATGCTGCTGTGGCGGTGGTGGTGCTAGCGGCCCATAAAAGGGACGATAGCAGGAGGGGTTTAACACCCATGTTGTATACAGAGGTAGGTGTTTGGTGTTTGGTGCTGATGTAAAGCGGAACCGAAGCCAAGAAGCAGAAAAAAAAAAACAACTTTTATCTTATCAGGGGGTGCGGGCAGATTTAATACTCATGGCTCCATCGCAAAGATAATATTAGGCACCGGTGATGGGGCTGAATCAGGATAAACTACGTAGATAGGTAGATAGCTAGGAGCGATAATATAGAGAGTCCCGCAGTAAGGGGCCGCGTCAGCCAACAGAGGCGGCGACTAGCGGTGGGTTTTTGGGTTAGTTAGTCCAGTGAGTTGAGTGGTAGGGTGGATGACGAGTCACACACACGGCGATTAGAAGTGCTGTTAGGGAATGCTGCTACTTGCTGCGAGGGGGGGGGTGTGAGTGGGATGGGGAGCCAATAGTGGTAAAGTATCTAGACAGATGGGAAAGAAAGCTCGGGGGTAAGACAGCAGCAGCTCATGTGAGAGGGAGTTTGTTATCGAGAAAGCATCTCCGATAGCAATTCCGACTGGCAGTGGCAGTGGCAACCGGGAAGTGAAAAAGGCTTGGTGTTCGGCAGAGTGTGGATCTGGTTTGCAAGTCAAATCAATCAAATCAGCCTTACCGAATGCGGTTGCCTAGAAGCGAGGAGTTACGTAGTACTAGACTCCCGTCTTGTCTGTTATCTGGAAACTTGTAAACTTGTAATAAGATAAACCGTTTATAAGCACTAATATTTTTTATTCCGTATTTATTCTACAAAAATAAAGTGGTGAAGTGAGAAATGTAAGACCTTAAACCATCATATAATTGTATCTTAAAATAAATCTTATTCTGACATTTACCATTCCGTTCCTCGGAGTATCTGTCGGGTATCATTCTGCCGATCGGGTTTGTCGGACATATCCTCTGGAATAAGCAACCTACGCCGAGAGTTCTGAGGTGAGAGCCCTGCCTCGGATTACCGAACGGTGGACATGGGAGCTTGGGTCGGGTAAGGGTTTAGAAGGTGGCTTGGGCTGTTCACTTTTAAGGAACCATAGTTGAGTATCACTCGGACATAAATTATATCTATAACCCGAGGGCGTGTTTGTCGGCAAGGCAAGGTACATTTTCAATTGCGAGCCTTAACTCCGAGTCATTGTTCAAGTTTGCTCGTATTATATATACAAGCCACCAGGACGGGCGAGAATGATGCGCTGATTCCACACAACATCATCATATCGACAACCAGTGAGCTTTCATGGTTTATAGGACATTACCATTTCAAACTAGCTCTGGTACAAACAGAATCAAATTAGACATAGAGTATAAGTACTAATACCCCCTATCTCTTGAGTATGACAATATTCCATCCTGAAGCTACATCCCTCATGCTAAGCACTCCGTACTTGAGCTTCAACATTAGGATCACGTATGCTTGTAGCAGCAGAACATGACAACAGGTGAGGATGACTGAATGCTATGATGTGCACCTTGGCTATGATGTGCTTGACGCTTGGACCCTGCCTTCCCCCTGCGGGGCCTGTTATGGTCATCCTGGTGTGGGGAAGCAAGTAAGCAATGGTCCGATCTTAATTGTAATCTGTCCTGCTCAAAATTGCCTGCAGTTGCACATATAACAATGCTGCGGTCCAAATATTACTCTCTCTACTTTCGGGTTAAGTACTCTCTCAAAGAAAGGCTCAGCAATATCACTTTGCTCATACTACAGAGTAAGCTATATTAAACTATATGATTTTATCTTTATTCAGTTGTAGGTGTATTTAGTAATCGATAAGAACTTAGGTCTTCTGGAATTTATTACCACGCCATTGTCAAGAAGCGGGGCGCCTTTTTAACAAGTCGGTTACCTTGAAGATTCACTTCGATGAGTAAGATATACGTTGGATGGAGAAGCTGCCTCGAAGACGCCTGAGGCACAAAACCTCGTGCTGCCCGACCACGAAACGGACCAAAGTCCCCTTGCTTTGTCCACCTCGCGCCTCTCAATCGGCTTCCTCACCATACCCGTATCTCTCACTCTTCCATTGAAGCCCACACTCATGTAATGGACACGAACGCGCTTGTCGACCTTGTCCATGAGGTGCAGGGACAGATTTGGGTTGATAAAGTGAACGAGACTCACAGGTTGGGCCGTCTCTGCCCGTGGGTGTCTACATTCCATCCCGACAAACTTCCCTGTGAACTTGAGGGTTCATTCCACCATGGCGCATTCAATGCCGGAATGAAAATGGTCTTCAGTGACCGCACTGTCTGGATGGTACGTTTCCCTCGTGCGGGGAAAATATGCGATGGCTACATCGATGAGAAGGTGGCGATGGAGGTGACGGCCCTGCGCCTCATCCGCGAGGACTGCCATCCCCGTCCCGAGAGTCCGCGCGTGGGGTCCCGCTGCCACCAACCCGCTTGGTCTCGGTCCGTTTATCATAATGGATTTTATTGACGGGGTGAGCCTTGGTGATCTTCTCCAAGATCATAGTGCCGAACGCCCCAGCCGACTTATGAGGGAGGACATCAGTGACCATGATGTCGAAATTATCTATAGACAGATGGCAGGATTCCTGCTTCAGCTATTCAGACTCGATTTTGAACAGATCGGCAGTCTGCCACCGCCACCACTGACTGAAGCTCATCGCTTTACTTCCCTGCCACGGCCGCTAACATTCAAGGTACACAGCATCTTACAGAATGGGGAAGTGAATACATTCGGTACATACACCTTGATATTGAGGTCATGCTAAATTGAATATTAATCAGTGATTCCCAGGTGACCGAACCAAGGGTTTTGCGACGACAACCGAATACTTCCAGTATGTTGTCGGTCAGGACTGGGAACAGCTTGTACACCAACCAAATTCGGTCTGCGGCGAATACGATGCTCAAAACAAGTATGTGGCTTTTAAGGCACTAAGATCCTTTGTGCCAGACTTGATCCATTCGAAATATAATCATGGCAATTTCAAGTTGATTTGCGACGACCTCGGCCTTGCCAATCTGATCGTCCGCAGCAAGGATGATCTCACTGTCGTTGGAGTAGTAGACCTCGAGTGGTCTTATATAGGACCCGCGCAGCTGTTTGGCTCGGCACCCTGGTGGCTTCTCCAGGACAGACCTGTTAATAGCGCCTGGGACTATAATGGCGAAGAGCCACCCGAGACCGCTGCAAGGTACTTCAAGTATTTAGATCAGTTCACCCGGGTTTTAGAGGAGGAAGAGGCCAGGCCTCCAGGCCACGAAGAAAAAGAGCTTTCTAGCCTCGTCAAGTGGTCGCGAGAATCGGGAGCCATGTGGCTCCACATACTCCTCTCATCCGGCTTCAACGATCACCGCAGTTTTCCTTTTACGAAGCTTCGACAGCATTTTGGAGCCGATGGCTGGGCCAAGCGAGAGAAAGAATTTGACTGTGCAGAAGAACTGGAGGCATTCGCATTGCGAAAGGTGGGAGAGTTAGATAAGTATGATGAAGACCTGGAGCAGATCGAGGAAAACAAAACTCTTTTTGGACAGCGGAAGAATGACCAAGGAAGAATTCATTCTCGCTGCTGCAGCAATCATAGAACCTCGCAGCTCCTTATCATCTGTGGTGAACGATGAAGCATCGAATGAGAAGGTACTATACAACATGCCGTAGTTAGTTAGCTTGGCCTGCAGGTTACGAAATTGAGGATGGCCATAGGGATAGGATGAAACGATCATTAGTGGCTTCGTCAATGTCTTCAGCGACAAACAGTATCCTAGGAAGACATGCCCTGTTTCGACCGTAACACCGGCGCTTTAATGGAAATGCAGGAAATTATACTCCGAACAAGCACTATGCAGGTCCGGAAAGCCAGACCCATTAGTTGAGAGCCGGTTAGAGAGCACGTGGACATCCCTTTGCTACCATAGCAGCAGAAGAAACGAATGAATAGCGTATGCAGGCTTGGCTCCATGAGATACCTTGTTCGCCGCTACGGATGGCAGAGAGTATCTGCAAATGATATGATACAGAAAGCACGATTCAGGGTGATGCTTTTGAAAAGACACCAAAGCGCACTATATTGCGCGATTTTTTCTTATATCAAGGATCTCGGATTGCACCGGCGAATCAACAGTCCAATGAACGAAGGTATAGAGGTCTGACATGTGGAGATGGTGCTGATATTAGCGTCGCCCTAGAATGCAGATCAATCCAAATGTAACGTCGGGGCCAGAACATCCGAGACATCACATTGGATCAGCCCAATGTGACCAGATCCTCCAAGCCAATGTTGGACGTCTGGGGCAAACAAGATCCAGGACTCCGAAAGCCCCTCATCGAAAGCCTTAGGCACATGGGTATGACTCCATTGCTCATGCGTTATGCGTAGGCAATTGACCGTGTCGTTAATGAGTACTGGAGATACTCTGACATTTCATATATATACATCTAGACAGGCCTAAGCCTCTCATACAGAAAATTGGAAATCGTGTAACAAGAGATATATAATATCAAATGAAGCCATGAGCGAGAATCCACCGGCGCAAGAAAGATATCTTCTAAAGTACCGACGATTATGGAGGTCACTGATGTAATGGCCATGGTCTCGAAAAACCGTCTCGTTCTGCTGACCGGTCGCGAATGAGGTCTGGAATTGTCTTGCTTTTCTAGCGTCATGTTGTCATCTATAAACAATCCCGCGTCAGTGATGTGTTGTCTGTCATGCCGTGGGATGTTATTAAATTGGATTTGTTCCGAGTTAAGCCTGCTGCTCGGGGGATGTTATTGATCTCGATGATTGTATCCAACTTACTGGTAGATTCTAGAGGTGGTTGAGAGCGTGAATAAGAATAATTGTTTGTTTCTGGATGAAGAGGATGAAGTTTGTGTAGGAGGAGTAAAGAGACTCTCCGGTACAGAGACTCCTATATATGGGGGGAATCTGACGGTGGAGGCCCCTCCACCTTCCTCGATCCAGGCCGGGCGCTAATTTCTCACCAGACCCGCCCTAGCCACTTCACAATACAAAGCTCACCTGATCAAGTCAGCTCAGGTCTTTGGAGATCCTGATACTAGATCTGGTTCCACTCGAGGTAACATTTCGGCAGGGATAAATGAATATAGAGCGGAGATGATACTTAAAGGCATCATTGCTGTTACCAAGAAGATGCTAGAGATACGGAAGTTCTCATGTTAGGGATTGAAGACTAAAGATGTCGGTAGGCATGCACTGTTTGGTTGTTACAACTGCACAGTTCTCAGTCCCATACCATAATTTTAGTTGGCTATATGGCTACGAAATATTGAAAACATGAGTACAGGGACATTTCTCATAATGGTGAAAGGGACACCGCATCGACCACCGTCTTGTCATGTTTACAAAATTTCAAATTAGAGTTCGCCGCGAAGTCCACTCAGTCATCAGCTAAGCATAACAGAAGTATAGTCGTAAATATCAGCTAGCTCAGCCTCTCAGCCAAGGATCCTGTAAAAGCTCCTTTGCTGTTGCTCTTTCCTCGGGCAACCAAGTAAGGGTCTTTCGCATGAACCGTAGGAAGCCAGACTTATCACTGAGTCGAGAATCTAACCGTTCCATTGTCCGGTCATGCGGTATAGGCGCAAGGCCCAGCCACTTTCCTAGATAGTAGGCATCAGCAGGGAGAAAAAGGGACAAGAATAACCGGTTAATTGCAATGTCAGCTGGTAGATACTGCTTACCATCAGAGTCCCAAAAGTCGCTTCTCCTTTTCTGGTTCCTTCTTAAAAATTCGGGGGGAGGCGGTCCTAGTGCAGCGATAATTTGTGCTAGATGTGCAGCATCATACAATTCACCATCTTCATCTCGTGCTGTGAAAAGATTTCTCGGCTCGAGAAGATCCCAGGCCTGCAGTCCATTTCAGTTATCACAAAAAGCTGTCACAAAGCGCCATGCTGTCTGGGAGGAACCGTGACATACCGTAAGACCTACACTCCAGATATCGACAGGGTAACTCCAACCTATGTAGAGCAATGTCTCAGGCGCCCGATACTCCATGGGCATGATATCACCGCCGTGGGGCCCTGGGCCAATCCGTGTCTCACCAAAGTCAGACAACAACATTGGACCTACTTGAGGACGCATAAGGCGTGATAGATAGATAGTCCGAGTGGGAGAGACCGGCTTGCGAGGTACTGGTGACACAAGTTCTTCGTGTTCCAGTGCACTCAGCGATTGGTTGTCATAGGCTCCGAGGAGAAGATTTCCAGGATGTATATCTATCATGGGGATGATTAGTTCACTCTTCTAGAAGCTTGCTTGCTCGAAGGAAAGAAGACTATACCAGTGTGAACAACCTGTCCTTGCGTATGGAGAAAGTCCACCGCCTGTAAAAGCTCGGTAATGGCAGCTTTCACGAGATTCTCATCGAATCCACCCTGTTGGAACACTACCTCCATGTCACGCAGACTCATCTGTGTGGCCTCGAAGATAAGGACTATATGTGTCCCATCTTGACTGGAAACAGTGAAGGAATCTAATAACTTGCGAATGTTGTATCGTCCCTGGTGTGAGCTTGTTTGTAGCTGTTGCTTCGCGTGATCATAGAATGGGAGTTCGCGGTGAACCGAAGAAGTATGCACATAGACTTTCAATGCGACATATTGGCCGTTTCTATGCAAGTCAGTCTAATGGTTCAAAAAAAAAATTACAGTCTTTCGAACATACATCAAATCGCGGGACAGCCATATAGTTGATGAGGAGCCAAAGCCCAGTTTTGCCACTGTTTGATAGCGGTTCTGGAATATTTCACCCAGTCGAACGGGATAGAATCGGTGTGCTTTGTAGTCAGGTAACTCTTCCTCTTCCACCTTTTGATCAGACTGGATAATGTCGAAGCCACTAGTCGGGAACTTCTGTGCATTCTGAGATATTTTCGGTGCAATAATGGAACCCAACGTGGAGGACTTCATTGACGATGGTGATGATGATATCGCTCTCCAAAGAGACATTCTTGATCCAGAGGCAGATACAAACAGTGTTGGGGATTGTGTGCGGTATACGATCTTGTTAGAAAGAAAGCGAGCTGCAGAATTTCTCCTAACGGCTGACATCGATGGAATCATGGCTACTTAGCAAAAGGATTCTATTACTGTAGATGATCAAGTGAATGCTGGTGCATAAAGCTGCAGGTCCGGACCATTGGTCATTGCCCCATCATGCCAAGACACCTGTGCCCCAAACCACACCCCCTTTGCAATCCGACGCAGTTTTTCTGGCTCACGCCAGGCTTGACTTTTCCTATACTATCTGATAGTGATTTATTGTTCACTCTTGTCCTCGGACAATCGGAAAGCACCTCTATACAACTAGGAGACGGACCAAGCTAATTCCCCTGCTCTAAGAGAAATCTACCAACAACTAAAGCCCGGGTAAGTATGTCAGTTCTACCCAACACTATACAAAGCGAAGGGTATGCAACTCACTTTTACGAAACTCCTCGGGCCTCTCCTGGACGATCCAATGGCTGCAGTCGAAATCCACGATTTCAGAAGACGGAAAGAATGCATTTATCAGCGGCAGTGCTGAGTCAGGGATGAATTTGCTCTGAAGAGCTCTCAAAAAGAGCACACGACCATTAAATTGCCTAATGGCTTCGCTCCCCTCATCTACACGATAAGGAAATTCCCCAAGAGGTCTTATGGCTGTGCTCAAGGTTTCAACGGGCACACGTAGTTGGAGGAAAGGTGTATCTGGCTTCTTGTGAAGATTGCTAATGAGCCAAGCCCGTATGGCGGGAGACTGTGTAATACTCTTATTAGCTTTATCGTCGAAAGCTGCAGAACCAATACTATCACAAAGAAAGACATCTTACCTTTTCATATTGAGTCAAGATCCTATCAGCTTCCGAATAGTCCGTGATTCGTTCGTCTCCCAATCTCGCCAATCCTTCCAGATACCGAGCAAAGTCTGACTCCAGTGGCAAGCGGATTGGGCAATTGTCGATGGCCACTACATCCTTAACTAGGGTCGGAGACTCTAAAGATAGGGTTAAAGCTGTTTTGGCGCCCCTGAGAACCCACGTATTAGACACAATACTATCTTACTGGGAATAGTGAGCATTGAGTGAGTACAGTTGGTGCATACATGGAATGGCCAATGACAGTCGGCGATCGAAGTTGGTGTCTTTCAATGAAGTATTTAACATCCAGGGCCATCTCCATATAGTCGTGTTTTGAATGATGACCGGATTCGCCATGGTTCCGCATATCCTGGCTGGAGGTTCAGTTTATCACTTGAAGTACATCGCTATTCGGGTCACCCAGAGAAGGGAGGTACATACCAGAGCATACACAGGCCGGGAGAGATCTTTAGCGAGTACTCTGTTGAGATTGGTTAGGGCGCACCTAGACAGAGCAAAAGCGGAAGTACTTCCCTGCTAACATGTCTGTTTTCGCGCTTTGAGCCTAGAAACCCGTGCAGGAAGAGAATTGGCCTGGTTGGAGTAGAATCATGGCTTGTCGAAGCGTTGCTGGTAGGTGGTCGATGGAGTTCATAAGCTAATGGGACTCGTCGTGTCGCGGTATGTAAATGCCGGCAGAGATGTCTTGAGTGCAACATTGAGGGGAATATGGTCTTGACTGGTTAACATAAACAGTAAGGAGTGTCGCTTGCATTAATTACAGATTGTAATCAACGAATCTAGTTATCGCTAGGAATAGTTAGTCAACGAGTCCGTTACTGTCTCGTTATTTCGGGAGAGATTTGCCAGAATGTTCAGGGAAATTGACGCGCCGATCCCTTATACATACTTGTAATATTACGTTGCTTCTGGTAACGCCATTGTTTCGGCAGCAGCATCCGAAGATCTCGGGCCCTCCGTCTCGTCACTGTTTGTAATCAGGACAAGCAAGTTGTATATTATTGCTGTGCTACCATAGTATCACCCTTGTTCTTCTGGTTTTCATAAGCAGGGCAAGACCTAATTATGTCGGTACTGGTGTGGGCTTTTAATAGTATGGGTCACTTCATTATCGGAACCGAGTTATGTACTTCACGCCCTTTCGGTGACGACCCCCTTCGTTTTGAGACCCACAAGCAAGCAACCCTTATAATGAAGGGCTCATGACTGAGCGCCCTCCAACTTTACGGGAAGGCAGCATTTACATCGTTTCAACATTACTTTTATAATCTATATGCAAAATGCGTCGGTCGGCCCGGCAGGACTCTTCCGTGCTTACCGAGGAGCTTGAACTAAGATCTCATACTGGCATCTATGACACCGAGCAACCGGCAGATGGGCCCGGAGTCAGCCAGGCCTTCCCCGAAGGTGGTCGAGAGGCATGGATGTGCCTCTTGGGATCCTTTTTGCTGATGTTTCCGTCATTTGGATTTGAAGCAGCAGGTACGTCAACTTGTCATGACCTCATTTACATGAAGACCCAAGTTACTACGAACAGCTGACTTGAATACCTAGTTGGCACTGTCCAGGACTACATTAGCGAGCACCAGCTTGCCGAATACAGCATCCGCGATGTTGGCTGGATCACCGCAATTTTCGTGTTTCTGACTCTATTTCTTGGAGTCCAGGTCGGACCACTGTTCGATCGATACGGCCCTCGAGTCTTATTAACATGCGGATCCGCAGCCAGCTTCACCTCCTATATGTTACTAGCTGAGTGTACAAAATACTGGCACTTCATTCTGTGCCTTTCCATTCTCGGAGGGATCGCTTCAGCCATTGTCTCAACAGTCTCAATTTCAGTCCTGAGCCACTGGTTCCACCGTCGACGCGCCCTAGCATCAGGCATTTGCATGGGCGGATCATCGGCTGGAGGTGCTACCATCCCAGTAATTCTACGGACCCTGTTCTCAAAATACGGTTGGACGTGGTCTATCCGCGTTATCGCCTTTATAGCCCTGGGATGCTACGCAGCAGCAATCATCCTAGTCAAAGGCCGCCTGCCAGCTGGCAGCAACAGCAAAGCGACAATCGACTTCCGGGCCTTTCGATCTCCTCGACTTTGTTTCTTGACTGTGGCAGTCTTCTCCTTCGAATTCATCATCTTCGGCTGCGCGGCACTATTACCAACATACGTCCGCTTTGCTGGTTTCCCAACGGATGTGCAGTTCTACTCGCTCACAGTCCTGAACTGCTTTGGCTTAGTAGGAAGAGTCCTTCCCGGATTTGCGGCCGACAAGATCGGCCGTTTCAACATCCTGCTCTGTCTAGTGCTGCTCACGTTTATCATAATGGCAACGGTCTGGCTGCCTGTTGGCTCTCACGATGTGAAGACCCTATACACCGTGGTGGCTATCTTTGGATTTGGCTCTGGGGGTTGGATCTCCCTTGCTCCTGTATGTGCTGGCCAGCTTTGCAGAACTGAAGAGTATGGTCGGTTTTACGGTACCCTGTACTCTGTGGCTTCGTTCGGGGTTTTATTGACTGTTCCCGTCGGAGGTGACTTGCTGCAATCGACCACACCCCAGATTCTTATCGGGTTTTACTCGGCCGTGCTCTTGGTCGGGCTTGTTGGTCTGATATTGTCTCGATGGGCTCTGCTGGACTGGAAGTGGAGATGGAAGGTTAAAGTATAATTCCTCCAAGAAAGATGGAGTATTTGTATGATCTTGTCTGCCAAACTGCTTACTTAGTTCGTGGAAGAGTGATAGTCTAAGTACTTCAAGAGTTATGGTAGTAAATATAAATGAATTATCTTTTTTTTTTGGCTCTTCCAGCCCTCTCATGAAGAACATCCCTACTCTTATAGTTAGAAGTCACATGACCGACTCGATAACAGGATGTTATCAAATACCGATACAGCTCCTTCCTGCTCAGGCCGATCATCTCCAATTCAACATTCTCTTTCATCTTTGCTCTTCCAAATTGAATTAACGAACAAATAATCGATATAAATCATATACACAATATATCCCCGCATCCTGCATAACTCACAGTCAAATAATACAAAAAACACCACAGACGTCACAACGCAAACAAATCTCCGACTTATCCAGGAACCAACTATGCGCCCCCGCACCCTCCTCCTAACCATAGACGCATTTAACACAATCTTTCATCCGCGCCATCCCGTTCCCGAACAATACATTTCCGCCTTTAATTCCTTCAAAGTCCAATCTCCTGAGCTCACGCCATCCGTCCTTCAACCAGCCTTCAAATCCGCTTACAAAGCGCAATCCCGCCGCCGGCCCAACTATGGCCGCGCGGATGCCATCCGCGGCAAGTACGGCGGACCAAGGCAGTGGTGGGAGGAGCTCATACGCACCACGTTCCAACAGGTCTTGGCAGATAAATCTACCAAATTACCAGATGAGCTAATCCAGGGCTTACTGGATCGCTTCGCGAGTTCACAAGGCTACGCGCTCTACAACGACGCGGGCGAGTTATTCCAACGCCTCAGGCAAATCAAAGCCACCGGTCAGAAACTGGGTGTTTTTGAGAGGATAGTTGTGGGAGTCCTCTCCAACTCAGATGACAGGGTGCCTGCTGTGCTCCAGTCATTGGGGCTGAGTGTAGGGAAGGGAAGAGCGGATCAGGAAATCGAGAGTTTGAAATTGCCGGGATTCGAGGATCCTTCCAGTATTTCCACTGGAGAGTATGGAGAAAGGGTTGATGATATTGATCTCGTGATCACGAGTTATCAGGCTGGAGAGGAGAAGCCTAGTCCGGTGATCTTTGACGTGGCTGAGCGGCAGGCGAAGAGGCTGGTAGGGGCTGGTGAGGAGGATGGTGATTGGGTGCGTGTTCATGTGGGCGATGACTATGATAAGGATTATCGTGCTGCTGTTGATGCGGGGTGGAAGGGAGTTTATGTTCCCCGAGATGAAGGTGGGGGGATGGAGGGGGTGGTGATTCGGTCGTTGGTGGATTTGATTCCGATCTTGGATGGGATGAAATAGATTGTGGCTGTTCAGATGTACAGTAAGATGGCTTAATTGGTGTATATATCACTTGGAGAGAGTGTGACTTGAGACATAGTTGTGTGATGCACTACTATACGAGTGACCCGGCGAAGTATGCCCACCCGGATACAAACGGCTGCTTGATACTATCACAATACTACAAACACAAGACACCTCCCCTGCCAAGTACTTTTGACCATAAGTACTCCGAGTGATCGCCAGCTTGTCACAAAAAGCATTGACCTCAAACCAGACCTGCAGGTGGCCATCCGTGCAGCGTCGGCAATCGCACTGACCAGTTGCCAGTTAGTTGCCTGGTTACAGCCGGTGACGCCAAGCAATGCCCAGATCCCAGCATAGGGACTATTATAGGTCGATGCCTGGATGGCGACACAATTAACTATGACGCATCCCTTGGCGATCTGCTGGTCTATCTTACAAATCTATAGGTCCCTGTTAGTCCCTCTCTCGAGGTAGAGCACATTATTTGTGCAATCATATGATGGTGCAAGGGGAACCCATGATGTAATGACGTCGAAAGGGGGGGATTCAACTACACTTATAAACCCCGATATTATCCACCAAATTGCTGCAAAATCTAGCTTCTTTCTTCACCTAACCTTAACTAGAGAATTACTACAAAACTATATCAATATGGATCTCGTTCAGAAGTACGGCCACCTCAAGCACGATCGACGCCGGAGCTCCCTGCAGCAGCAACTCGCGGAAGAGGAACGCCATCGGAATCAAATGGGTGAGTTGATACTACCCTTGTCAACTATTCAATGAAATACATGCTGATGAGGAGCTAGCAATAAACTCACTGTTAGGGAGCTTTGGGGGTTCGGCAAACGATCATCCAGACCGACGATCCAGTGGTGCGGGGAATATGGCGAGCATGATCGAGGAGTTCAATAAGTCAGTGTCCCTCTACACACACACATGCAATTACGAAGTGAAGCTTACGGAATACTGCAGACGGAAATCAGTGTCCCCGGATACCAATGTCGAGCAAAAAGAGTGATGCAATTATCTATACTGTTGGGTGATGGAGCAGGGCGGCTATTGTGGGTTAATGGAGTAATGAGGCTTATGACTGTCATTTATTGAAAACAACACACAAAGTTATGACTATTACTACTATAACATACGTTGTTCCTGCTCAAGTTGTAGCCCACCATAGTCACTATCTGGATAAAGCGCAATGCTTGGTCATGCTGGAATGCTCGATGCTCACAGCGAGGGATATGGAACAGCCAATCAGACAAAGCAGATCACATCGCAGATCAACACCAGATTGGGACTAGTCGATACTAGCTACTCAAGTGACCGCTTTCCCAAAGAGGAATGATAATGACCAGTCAAATGGTATCACGGTGGATGCATCAACTTATCTACTCACGCGTCACGATATGTTGTCGCACAATTGCTCCTCCCCGCTAGCTTATTCTAAATGCCCCCGGTAGCTGTACGCGTTTCCCCTGTCAATATCCATATAGCCCTAGCTAAATCCGTCTAGACGCCCTTTCGTGCCTCCTCCCGTCGCAGCGCAGGCCCGCAATTCGCGTCAACTCCGCGGTTCTTCCTCTCACAAACACCTGCTTCATCGAGGCCATCTCAAGAGATCGATTCCATTGACCAGGATGACTTTGCATATGCCACACCTGCTCCATCTGCACGTAATTTAAAACGTGAGAGAGAGCAGGTACCCACTCCTCGCCCGAAAGAGTTTATTGAAGACTTGGACCAGCCAGACGATGACGCTGCACCTAACGAAGGCGAGCTTCAGAGCAGCTCTCCACCAGAGCCAGGGGAGCTCGACGCCTCCTTCGATGAAGTATTCGGATCTATAAGAGACCGTCAGAAGAGGCGTCGAGTCTCTGGGCATAATGACGCTGATAACACTCCCTCCGTTCAACGACGGAGACCCGCCGACAGGATCCTGTCATCCTCCCCGGATCCTCCAGCAGCAGCAGCAGCAGCAGCAGCTGACGAGACAACTCTATCGGTACAATTCCAAACACCAAAGCAAATACGTCCAGATCCGGGGTTCCGAAAACCAGAGCGGCCTGCGGAAACACCACATCCTGTAACACCAGCAAGCATCAACCCCTCCTCTCTTCAACCCCGTCGTTTCGTGCTATCCGCGTCGCAACTACCCCCAAGTAGCCAGACTCAAGTCAACACCGCAATACCACCCTCGACCGCAACTCCAGTCCCGAGCTCACAGCGGCGAACACCAGCATTCGTCCTGCCTCGCTCTCCCTCCCCTCAGGAGGACGACGAACCCACCGGCATCCCCACGCCGTTCTCGCCTTCCTCTCGTGCACTCCGACGGCGCGGCCGTCATCGTTCTGCAGCGCACAACTATGTTCCTGGTGGCATGGCGGCGGAAGTGCGCAGCTGGATTCTGGAAATGGGCGCAAAAAGGGAACAGCAACAAACGAGTCCGAGCCATTACCGCAGAACGGGTCCACCTTCGCTGGACACGTACGCGATAGCCATCCGGATAACCTGTGCTCGTCAATCGGCCCTGCCGAGTTGCGGCGCTCTGACATTCGCACAGGGCCACACCGTGGATCCTTCCGAGACTAACGAGACAGATACTCGATTCCAAACTCAGACCAAGAACGTGCTCCTTCTCGGACCACCCCGACAACAGAAGTCCCGGCATGCAGCGACTCACATTCCCGACCTTGAACCGGGGGATGTGGTCGGAGTCTTTCGGGGACTAGCTTGGGAGGTAGATCTAGGAGAGCCTGCTCCTGCTTTAGAAGTAGGCCTTGACCTCGACGGTCTCTCCCAATCGGACCGTTCATACATGCAAAGTGCAGGTAAATGGCATGTGGGAATGGAATGGGAACTAATCTTATAGTACTATTCATACAGTCAACCATGTACATTATTTGATACCCAAACACGCAACAATGCGATATTTCAAACATCATGCTGAACATTCATTCCTCGAATGAAATGCAAAAGAAATGAATCTATATATGCAAGCTTTTACCCCCTCAAACACCATGACCAAAACGCCATACCCACACTGCACACAAAACACATATGTACATCATCACTCCGCATCCCCATCCTTAACCACAACCTTCAAAGCATCCACCGCAACCTTACATCCCCATTTAACAACCTTCAACTCCTTCCCGGACGGCACAATATCCGTCTTCGCAACCACCTTCCTCAAGAAGAAAATCAACCCCTTAACAATCTGCGGCGTTTCTCTCGCGCGCAAGAAAATCTCCAGAAGCGCCTTCTCATCCTGCTCATCTTCATCCTTCGACTTCGACTTCGACTTCTTTTTCTTCTGCTTCTGCGACTGCTGAATCACACTAATCAAAAGCAATTCCACAAAGGCCTTGCTCTTCGGCTGCAGGTACGCGAAGTTGAGAATCTTGAGCACACCCAGATTCAACGTCCCGTCTGCGATAAGCGATCCGTACATCTTCGCCAGGTTGACGATGGATTTCATCTCGAGTTTGTTCTGGTCGTCTTCGTCGTCGAATGCGTCGTCGTCATCGCTATCGTCCATGTCGCCGGACTCGCCCATGCGTTTGAATATGTTCCATAGCGTGTACATGAAGGATACTTTGATGCGACGGCCCATTTCGCCACAGAGCCGCTTCGCGATGAGCGTGTAGTAGGGGTTGTGGGCTTCTTCTTCCATGGCGCAGTGGGTCAGGACGCGGGGGATTTCGAATTCCTGGGCGCGCTTGAGACGGAGTTTGAGCAAGCGGACATGTGCGTCTTGGTAGTCGGTTGCGGACATGATGGCGACGAAGATGGAGCGGCGGACGTCGGTGTTCATGCGGTGCGCTTTGGCGATGTTGACGAGGTCGGGCTCGGAGTCGCTGTCTGAGACGTCGGCGTGGGTGTTATTAGTAGGGAGGCCGTTGAGTTCCTTCCGGGCGGATTCGAGGGGATCTTCGCGCCAGCTGGCGCCGACGAGCCACCATTTGCCCTTCTTCTCGGAGTTGTGGATATCAGCGCGGGAGATGCTGATGGGTTCGGAGGCGCGGATGACTCGTGTGTTGTTGAGAGAGCCGAGAATCTTGCGCATCTTGGTGATGTGTTCGGTGCTGATGCTGGCGTTTACGTTGGACTTGAGCTTGTTGTTTTTGAGGTCGGTGATGGTGTCGATCATGAACTTCGTACGGACGGAGAGGGCGGCTTCGCCGGCTTTGGCGACGGCGGGTTGGATGAGAAGGACGATGTCTTTGAGGGAGGAGGGGTCATCTTGTCGGAGTTGGGGTCCGGAGTCTGGTGTGGTTAGTATGAGGTTGAGAAGGGAGGGGTGGGCATAACGTACTTCGGATGATTTTGAGGAGCAGTTCGGTGTTCTCCTCGTTGATTTCTTCCAGGAAGAGACGGATGTAGTCGAAGACAAGGGGACTTCCGATGACATGGAAGTTGTATAGTTGCGACAGGAGAGAGATCAGGTTGATGGTCTCCTTTCCTTCGAACTTGCCCCGTTCATCGCCGCGGGCATCGAAGGTCTCGACAATCTTCTGCACGATTTCTGCGCCAAAGTCCGTACCCACAATCTTATACATTGCAGCAATGAAACCCGCATGTAGAATGATGAAAGTATCCGACAGGGCAGATCTTTCGCAGATCAACCCGAAGAGCAGAGAGATCAAGGTCGAAGTGACGTTCTGGCGAGGATGATCCCGGTAGAGCTTCTCGAACTCCGCGAGGATAGAGACCATATTGGCTTCAGACAGCTTGTTCAGGTGACCTTGAGCCTGTCTCCTCAAGCGAACGAGAGACTCATCCTCTGAGTTGGAGGCCGCCCGAAGCGAAGGAGGAATGTACTTCTGGGGACGGCTTTCGGCTTCTTTGACTGGGGCGACGTAGGGATTTTCCTTCTTCTTAGGAGCCGGCTCCTCTTCCTCTCCTTCCTCCTCATCTTCATCGAAATCACCCATAGACTCATCGTCGTCAAAGCCCTCAAGCCCATCTCCCAAATCGCTATCATCTTCCTCCTCAGAATCCTCCTCCTCGGGCTCCTCCAAGCCCTGCGCCTTTCTCCGCTTACTCCGTAGCCACTCATCAGCTTCTCTCTTGCGCTTCCGGCCCTCATCCGCCGAGTCCTCATCCAAATCGCCCAGCAGATCACCCAGCCCATCCTCTTCGAAGGATTTAGGGAGCTTCTTGCCCTTCTTCAAACCAAGCTTTTTCTCCAGCGCAGCAATTTCCGCGTCGTCCTCCTCGAGCTTCGACAGAACCGTCTTGGATACCGGGCGTCGCATTGTCACCTCATCCTCATCCTCATCCTCATCAAGATCAATATCATCCTCCTCCTCGGAGCTCTCCTCAACCTTCGCCTTCTTCAATATAGACTTCGGCTTCTTCTCCTCCTTAGCAGAGGCAGGAGCGGCAGCCTTTCCCTTCGCCGCTTTCGCCTTAGCAAGTTTCGCCATAACATCGCCGGCATCCTCATCCTCATCACCCTCATCTAGATCAAACTCATCGAAATCCCCCATATCCTCATCGTCATCGTCATCATCATACCGACCCCTCTTCTTCGGAGGCGGTCCCCGCTGATGCTGTCGCTGCTGCTGAGGCTGCTTCTTCCCGGAGCGTTCTTCTCGACGGCGCTCTTTCCGCAATGCCGGACCGTTGCGCTTATTCTTCTTCTCGCCGTAGGTATCTCTGATTCCGAGCTCTGCGCGCAGATCCCTCGGTAAGGAGGTCGTATTATGTCTAGGACGTCGCATGGTGTGAATCCTATTTTTTCTCCAGATTAATAAAAGTGTTGATGTTGATTGAGGGTTTGGATCTGAACTTTTTTTAATGCCGATTCAAAATTGGTCCCGCGGAGGCGGAGGGCGGAGGCGGTGAGAGTCAACCTAAACTGACTTTGGGGGGTGGATGCGTTTATCTCCGCTGGTTGGTCTTTAGCTGTTACTATTGCTGAGCAGTTATAGTTGGTTTGCGGTTTACTGCCAATTGAGGTGCGAAAACTTAACTTCAGCACTACGGTCACATCTACATTCTACTTACCCCGATCACACCAATCGAATTAATACAACACAATGCCCGCACACTTGGGCCATGAGGAGGTACTTTTCCTTCTCCCCCACAACCACCACCACATCACCACACCCAACATATCACTCAACTAACAACCCACTTCTCCAAATAAAATAGTTCTTCACCTCCCTCACCACCCTCCTAAACAACACATCCCAGAAAACTCGCGGATCAGTGTACCTCACGCAGAAGCCCCTCCTCAACACCACCACCGAGTCAGCGTCGCAACCATCCATCCTCATCCGCGCGACAGACGGCAACACCAACGCCCCGAACCCCAAGACGGCCGAGGCCAAGAAGAAGGTATCGAAGACGGGATCGGCAGCATCGAAGGTGAAGATATCAACGGTGGTGAGCCCTGATGATCTGGAGGCGTTCTACGCGAGGTATGCGGAGGTGTGTAAGGCTGGGATGACGGGGTTGAAGAAGAGGGATCGGAAGAAGGGGAAGGCGAAGGGGAAGAAGGAGGGGGGAAAGGTTGTTAAGGGGTGATTTTATTGAATTCTTTTTCTACTTTGGGGGGTCATTGGGGGTGGTTGATGGATGGATGCATTATGGGCGTTTGTGGGATTGTTCTACCTCAGTTTTATTTGATATAAGGGATTATGCTTCGATGTATATGTTGTAGATATGTTGAATGGGATTGGTTTTCAGCTGATGGTATAGTATCAATAGATTAACTACTTCGCTAGAATACAGGTGATCAATTTATGGTGCTTGTCCGGTGTGAATCAAAAGACAGTCCACCCACAACCGTACAGATGCCGACTAATAAAACAGAAACAATGAGATCATACAAATGCGTCATCGTGGGGAAAGAAAGGACATCAGAGGGAATCGCAAGTGTCATCAGATGCAGAATACAGGAGTATACAAAAAGTGTAGAATGAATGTAGATGGCGAGACAAATGGTTGGATGCAAATCAGTTGGAGTTCTCATCCGCAGACACCCCGGATCGGTCAGGGAGAGGCAAATCGAAGTCATCCACAGTGTCCTGGGCATGGTCAACCTCGTACTCAATCTTCCGGTTCAGTTCCCCCATCGCGGATTCCAAGGCTGGGCCGATGACAATGCGCGCGGCAATGTGGATGAGAACAACAAGTAGCTGGATCGGGGGAACCAGGACAAGTGTGGCGGTTTTATGAATCAGCGACGCCGCATCATGTTTCTCGGGTCTTGCAACTGCCAAAGACGATGCAGGTGGCATAGGGGACACTTCGCGCTCAAGGGATGCTTTGGAGCGTCGGCGGAATTCGACGCTCATGCTGCTGAGGTTGGGGTTCGAGTCGGTACTTCCGGTGCGGGGTGCGACTGGACGTTGAACGTCAGGGACTTTGGTCGGAATCGGCTTGATTTCGCGCTCGTGGAAGGCTCCAGGCATATCGTGCGATGCGGACGACAAGTCATCCCAGCAGTCAACATACACTGATAGTCTGTCTCTCGAGCGCTCTGTTTCTTGGAAGGGCTGTTCTTCAGGCGGCGAATGAGTGTCACTGTGGTCAGATTGGAACTGCTCAGTACCCTCGGTCGATGTAGGCGTAGAGCAGGCGTCAAGTTCGGGTAATGTAGATAACGATGGTCCAAGGGAGTGGAAGGATTCAACGCTCGATGAAAACGTTGTTTCAGGATCAACCTGTTGTTTGGGTTTGTCTTCAAACCTTGCCAGCAAGGTCTGGAAATTCTGTTCGGGTTCTGGGTCTGCGCGCTTGGGTGAATCCACCTGTTCGAATGTCTGAGGTGCTTCCGGAGTTTCATTGTCATCCGGAATAGTCTCCAAGATAGTACTGTTACTGGCACTGTTACTGGCCTTGGTCGAAAAGCCGCTG